TCAGAGGGTGAAAAACTTCATCAGACTGTGGTGTTGAAAGGTGGAGCCCTTTGGGAAGAGATAGGATTCACGTCGTTAGTCTGGGTCCCCATGATTGACTTTATGAGTTTATAAGGAGAGCGAACGAGGCAGACTCGAGAGCATAGAGCATCGCCCTTCTCTCGCCCTCAGGACTCTCCAAGACTGCAGACATGGGGCCCCTGGGCCTTGAACTTCCAAGCCTGAGCTGAATAAACCTCTATTCTCTTCAATCACCCAGACTCACTTATGTTCTGTTATTAGGGATGAAATAGACTAAAACTGGCACCATAAATATGTAGTTCAACAGCAGTCATGATTTATTTTCACAAAATCTCATGGTAAAGTGTCTACTCAAAAGTCGATCTCCAGGGCCAGCAGGTGGTGTGGTGGTTAAGACACTGGACTCCCATGTGGCTGACCATGGTTCAAGTCTCAAACCTATGATCTTGCCTTCTCATTTTGTCTCTCTCTGTCAGATTAGAAAATAATAATACTAACAAATAAAATTGAAATAATTCTTTTTTAAAAAGTCAGTTTCCATGAACGCATTCTCTGTGCGTGTATAAGAGCATGAGGGCAGGATTTGTAACTTGTCTTCCCCCTGGATAGATGGGAGCCGGCACAAGTCGTGTGTGGGTAGGTGCGCGATACACGTGCTGGAGGACTGAATGATAGGCGCCTCGTACACATTGAGCGGTCAAGCAGTCTGATGATAGCACACAGACTCTGGCACCAGGTCCCTGGCCTGGACTCCAGTTCTTTCTCAGTAGCTATGTGACCTTGGGTGAGTGACGTAACACCAAGCCCTTCATCTGTAAATTAGGAATAATAACGCCATCTACTTCAGACGGTGTTGTGAATAATAGCATCGCTTAATCAAGAGTACGTGTTCTCGGGGCCGGCAAGTGGCATGGTGGTTATAGGCGCTGGACTCCCACATGGCCGACCACGGTTCAAGTCTCAGACCTGGTGGCTTGCTTTCTCACTTCCTCTCTCTCTCTCTGATCAAACTGGAAAAAAATAATGATAATAATAAAAGTTAGATAAGATAATTATTTTTAAAAAAGAGTACATGTTCTGGAAAGTGTGTTCCTAGGTGATTTCGTGTGTAACCTTCAGTGTGTGCTCACACAAACCTGGTGCACAGCGTACTACACACCTACACTACGGGGTGTAATCTCACGGGTTACCACCATGTCTACAGTCTGTTGACAGAATGACAGTTTAGCACTTGGAAGAGTGCCTGACACACACTGTAAGAGGTAGTATTGTGATTGTATATAGGTCGTATATATGTGAATATCCTCAAGAAAACCCCCAAGGAGGGCCAGTGTTTCAATTCTGTCATGTCATAAATTTTCCTTTCTGGGGGAAAACATCCCCAGTAGACTTTCAGTTCCTCCAGAGCCTTCCCACTAGTCCCTCAAGGTAGTCTAACCTTCTTTCCCTTGAATCTAGCGGGTTTATAACTCGCTGGTCACCAATGCAATGAGACTAAAATAGTGCTGTTTAACACCCATGGTTTGAACTTTTCTTTTTCCTAAAGTTTATTTTATTTATCTATTATTACTCTTTTTAAATTTGCTATAGAGCATGTGTGCTCACCAGAGACAGCGAGAGAGAGAGAAAGCGAGAAAGCAGGCTGCCAGGTCTGGAACTTAAACTATGGTCAGCCATGTGGGAGTCCAGCACCTTAACCACCACGCCACCTGCTGGCTGCACTCTTGGTTCAGCTGGAAGACTCACCTTGGGGGCCCTGAGCCATCACGTAAGATGTTTGCTCACCATGCTGTGAGGAAGCCCTAGGCCACATGGTGAGGCCACGTGCACTTTTCCCAGCTTAGGATCCTAGCTGAGATCTCAGTCAACAAGCATCCACCACCAGATGAGTGAGGGAGGATAAGGCCAGGTGACCCCAGTCATAGAGTCACCTCAGCATCATAGACATCATGGAGCAGAAGTGGAAGGTCCACCTACACCCTTTCCAGAATCCAGGCTCATAGAATTAGAATAACACTTTATACCACACTGTGGGGTGCTTGTTACACACCAATCAGTAGAAACTGAAACAACATATAAGATCATTTTGTTTTCTTAGAGATTTTTGCTATAGGGTGTGTACACTCACCGGATATAGAGAGAGAGACAGAGAAACAGAAATTGAGAAAACACCTCCCTAAGGGGGATGGCCACACTGTAATCCCTTCTCCCCATACTCCTCTTGAGATTTTGCGCACACACATACACATGCCCAGCATGAGTTTTAAGCCGCCAGGTCCGGGACTCAAACTGTGGTCAACTACTTGGGAGTCCAGCAATATAACCATTACGCCATCTGCTAGTCCCAGATTTTCATTTTCTTAAATTCACAACAGGACGGATCTGCAAACATGTGAGAGAGGATCACCCTCCACCAGGTCTGGTCATACCACCAGTTCTAAGCTGCAGGGACCATGTGGGAACCCGCTTCTGAGAAGCATATTACCACTGGGCTGTGGAAGCAGCCAGCATTGCAGTACCCCTCGGCTCCCAGTGAGGTAGGCCCACAGGCACGTGCCATGGTACTTGGCCTGTTTTCACTCTAGGCCTCCCACGCAGCCCCACCCACCACAGGGCACCGTACCACTTGTGCCATCTGGGCCTTCAGTGCTCTTACTGCCATAGGGTACATGCATCCGAGAATGAAAATGCCCCCACACTGGGGCATGGTCATGCAGCAATCTTTCTTCCCCCCTTCTCACCAGGATGGAGCGTGAACACACACACATTTAACATGGTTTTCAAGCTACTGGGGCCAGAATTTGAACCATTCAGCTCTGTGGGATCTGGTTCCCTCTGCACCGTGTTTACAAGTGCACACTAAATGGCCGCCCAGACCTGTCTTAGTAACAAAACTGTGCCCAGAGCCTCTCCCATACGTACTCCAGCCATCACTGGTAGACCGACCAGCAGAACCCTCACTTGGGAGCACATGAGAAACGTCCCACCCAGGCCTGCTGAATCAGACCCTGCATCTTTTCCATGTCCCAGGGGAGGGCACACGCACGGCATCGCTTGAGAAGCGCCAACCTCCTTATCCCACACACACCGTGCAGCACACAAGGGAGCCCTGCCAGGGACTGCGTGAGGACTGGCGTGCAAAGTGAATTCCCACTGCTGCTGAGAGGCGGCTTCTAACTCTCCGTGGAAATACAGCTGCTCCGGGGACAGGCACGCCCTGTAGTGGGAACAACGGCTGTCGCTTACAGGGGTGCGTAGTACGTGCCAAGCACTCCTGTTTGTATTTGGTGAATCCCAAAATAGCCTGAAGGAAACAGGGACGATGGTGAACCCCATTATACACATGAGAAAACAGACGAAACACGGAATTCTTTCTCTAGTCTTCAAGTCTTATGCCCTTCTGACCTTCGGTACTTCCCACACCCGTGCGCTGTCCATCTTCACTTCACATCTCCCCGAGCCGGAGCCTCCGATCACTGATTTCTCTTCAGAAGAAATGAACTCCCCCTCCCGGGAACATCGATCTGCCTCAGGAAAGGCCGGAGGACCCATGTGAGAAATGCCTTCCACAATCTGATCATTCAAAACCCCATCTTTTTTTTTTTTTTAAATAATTATTTAATTTTATTGATTGGGCCAGCAGGTGGTGTGGTGGTTGAGGCGCTGGAATTCTCACATGACTGACTGCAGTTCGAGTCCCAGACCTGGTGGTTTGCTTTCACTTGTGCTCTGTCTTCCTCTGGCAAAACGCATGTCAAAAATAAATGAATCTTTTAAAAAAGGAATTAATTTTATTTATAATTAATTTTGTATAGGGCATGTGCACTCACAAGAGAGGAAGAGAGAGTCAGTAAGCAAGTCACCAGGTCCAGGACTCAAACTGCAGTCAGCCACGTGGGAATCTAGCATCTTACCCACACCACCTACTGGCCCCAAGTCTTAAGCAGATGCAAGTGTCTCTTAAACTCACGTTGGGACCTACGTTAGCTAGCATTCATGCCCAGGCTGAGTTTGAAAAATTGATGATTTAATGAAAAGGACAGTCATCTGTCAGCTGGGCTTGCCAATGCATGCTTCTGAGTCGAGGTCAGGGGTCAAATATAGACACCAGCTGTTAAAACATGGATGCTGTCTACTCTCACTGTTCTTAAGCCACTCTTATGACTGTCCAGGGCATTCCAGAAAAATTACCTTGGAGTTAAACTGCTGGAGTATAACAGTTAGTTGGCTCCAGGCCATAGAGTATCAGTGATTTTCCCTAGTAAACAAGATAAGGTGAAAGCCCTGTTCAAGGAACAGCCTTACGCTGCTATAGAAAGAGGTGCATACGGGAAAGGAAACAGCGTAGATCAAGCTGAGCCCCTCACTCAAGTGTCACTGTCACGGAAGTGATTATGAAATACTCGTCATCCAAAAAGGCATAAAGCATGTTCGGTGAACATCACAGCCCTCCTGCCTGGTCGCCAATACGTTCCAGTCCCCGGATACTCACTCCTGGCTGCCTCACTCCTTCCTGCAGCTGACCACTATCCCAAATGTGGTGTTTCTTATATTATTTTCAAGCCTTTTTTTTTTTAAAGAAAATTGAGGGGGAAAATTAAGTCTTAGAAGAAAAGAACCTAACTCAAATATAGTAAAACCACTGCAAACCTTTCTGCCAATGAGGATAATGGCTCAGTGTGGCTGCTTTAAGAGTGTGAAAACAAAGCATGAAATATAACGTAGCTTTTATTGACTAAAAGAAAAAGGGAATTAAGCTGCACGACACAAAGGTTCCCGTTTGGTAAATCCTATAAACGCCCTTCCCATCTGTGTGGTAAGAGCCGCTCCCTCGGTCAGAGCACTGACCCAGAGGGACACATGCAGGAGCTGCTCCTAGGAGCTGGCTCACTGTCGTCCACATGATCGGTTCCTGTCGGGTCTCAAGAGGCAAGGGCAGAGGGCACCACGGTTCTCAAAGAACAATTTTACAAACAAACTGACTTCATTAGGAGCCTCTTACGACACTTTATTTTAAAACATCTGAGCAGAAAATAGGACAAAAGGCCATGTAAGCAGTGTTTCATGGCACATGGAATGTTCTGGTCTATGGAATTGGAGGGGGGGGGCAGAAATGGTCTGATTAGGCATTGTATGAAGAGGACGACACGCTGCCACCATGGCCAGTCCAGTTAGTGTGGATAAACTGTCCTGGTTTGGCTAAGAGTTCATAGGTGTGAGCACCAAAGTAATCCCGCTGAGCCTAGAAAACAGGAACAAGTTTGGTTAGGACAATATGTAAAAGGCCAAAGATTTATATAACCTGAAGAGAAACCAGAGGTTCTAGTATGTAGGCATGATCATCAGGTACAGCTGGGCTAATTTGTTTTTTTAAGGAGAGACTTTTGCTATAGGGTGCATGTACTCACTGGAGAGACAGAAAGAGAGAAATCAAGCTTCGGGGATGGCCACAGGGCCATGCCTTCTCCTCCATTCTCCTCTCAGAATTTTGGTCATGCATGCATACATGCCTCGTCTCCTCTCAGAATTTTGGTCATGCACACACACATGCCTAGCGTGAGTTTCAAGCCACTGGGTCTGGGACTCAACTATGTAGGAGTCCAGCACCTTAACCACCATGCCACCTGCTGGTCCCCAGGCCAGGTTAATTTCAACCCCTATGCCACAAGCTTACCTGGATGAGGTTGGCTGGCAGCATCTCGTGTCTGTACCCATCGTAGAAGGAGAGGGCAGTGGTGAAACAGGGCATGGGAATGCCTGCCTGGACGCCTGTGCTCACTGCCCGCCGCCAGGACTCCTGAGCATGAAGAGCAAGGCCAGCAATTAGCGGTTTGCCCGAAGATGCTAATGGGTCCCATTCTAAACGCCAGATTTTCACACATCAGAGCTGGTAAATGGAGAAGACACCCTGCAGCAAAACCCACCAAGCCAGAAGCACATGCCAGCCAGCTGTAGGCCACGTACCTGGCAGTTTTCAACAGCCGACTTAAAAAAGTCATCCAGTAGGAGATTCTGAAGTTCTGGGTTTCGATCAAATGCATCTTTGATCTTTCCTAGGAATACACTGAAATAATCCAGAGGGAAGAAATCAATGACTTAATTCCAGCAGGCTGAATGCCTGGCAAAAAGCAGGGGAAATAAGTTGGAAGCCGACATATACCCTAGAGAGGTACAAAGCTCCATTTTGCATCCCTTAAGGTTGTTCTTTCTTTTTTTAAAAAAAGAATTATTGTATTATTTAACTTTCTTTCTTCCTTTTAATTTGACCAGAGAGGGACAGGGGGCGGGTGAGAAAGGAAGCAGCCAAGTCTGGGACTTGAACCACGGTCAGCCATGTGGGAGTCCAGCACCCCAACCACCACACCACCTGCTGACCCCCTTTAAAGCTGTTCTTAAGTGAACAGTCTGCTCGGTGAAAATAGCAAAAGTCCCAAGAGGCAAGGCCAGAGGGCATGGCAGTTCTCACAGGAGCACTTCCAAAGGTCTGTGTGGGCCTAGTCTCTGTAGCACAGTTGGGAGGACGCTGAACTGGGTGGCTGGCCACGGGTTCAGCTCCCAGGCCTGGTCACCAGAAACACACAGGCACGTGAACGCGGGTCTGAGATCCTGACAAGCTCGGGGCTGGGGAAGGGGACTGCAGCGTGAATGAGAGCTTGTGGGAGTGTGCTTTCGTCTTTCCCTCTCTCTCCCTTTTGTGTACACCCCTACCGTAATTTAAAAATTTTTAGAAAATGGAATAGTGTGGACAATCTGATTAGAGCAACTGATATATAGGAAAAAAGTGAGCCCCACAACCCAAACCTGCCTGTTGCCCGTGTTCAACGATAGGACTAACTGCAGCAGCCACAGGTGAATTCAAACAAGTGCCCTAGGAGAGCAGTGGGGGCGTCTCTCATCACGCCCCAGGTCACCTCTCACTTACCTTCTGATGATGCAGCCGCCCCTCCACATCAGGGCAATGCCACCATAATTGAGGGACCAGCCAAACTCATTGGCGGCCTGTCTTAGCAGCATAAAACCTTGAGCATAAGAGATGATCTTGGAAGCATAGAGGGCCTAGAGAACGACACAGACGGGGTTGCACTGAGCAGGATGGCGGCCTCTCCTGCTTACCAGCCGTGTCCTCCTCAGCAGTGGGGAGTTTCAAGGAAAAGCCTTTAAGCCGGGAGCAAGGTGAGGCTGCACGTGAGTCCACCTGCCACCCTGTGGCCTCGTCCCCACCCCCACTGCCCTCCAAAGGCCCAACACAGACTATTGCCAGAGACTGTGCCCCACCTTGCGAATGTCCTCCAGGAAGGATTTCTTATCACCTTTAAACTGGAACATCTGGGGACCCTTCAGCTTTTTGCTAGCTTGAATTCTCTCATCCTTCAGAGATGATAAGCATCGCGCAAAGACAGCTTCTCCTACACAGAGGCATTGGGGACGGGGGTAACAGATTACCAAAATTCGTACATAAAACCAGGCGAAAGAGAGTGCACACAGCCAGGGAAGGTGCAGACGAGATGGAAATGAGACCTTAGGCCACAAAATTAACCTGGAGCAGAAAGAACTTTTATGAAAAGCTCTGAACAGTTCATCTGGTAACTGAAACTCCAATTCAGTCTCCCCACATATTCAGATATTCAGCCACAAAGAGCAATGTGAAATTCAAAGGGGAGTTGAGGGAAAATGAAGACAAACCTACCACTATTCAGAATTACTCAAGTGTTGGACCATGACTAAAACTTCAGCTTCGACTTAAAGGACTTCAATTTTTAAATGCTCTTCCAAGGCTCAAATTGATTTTCCCTCTGAAGTACTAATTACCTGTTGACGTGAAATAGCGAGTACATTGAAAAGTCACCATACTCACCCCTCAGAAAACTGGTTTTTATACTTACTTTTTTTAAAAAAAGAATTATCTATTTAATTGTATTTATTCATTCATTTTAATTTGACCAGAGAAAGAGAGAGAGAGAGAGAAAGAGGGAGAAGTGAGAAAGCAAATCATCAGGTCCAGGACTCGAACTATGGTTGGCCATGTGGGAGTATCATCCAGCTCCTTAACCACCACGCCACCTGCTGGTCCCCTACACTTACATTTTATAATTTTCAGCACATTCATGACCACCATTTAAGTTTCATAGTTTTATTTCATTTGAATAAAAAACATTTCAACATGGAGGATTTTTTTGAGATTTTTGTTATAGGGTGCGTGGTTCGCCAGAGAAAGAGAGACAGAAAGTGAGTCATGGGATGGCCTCACAACCCCTTCTCCTCCATTCTGCTCTTGGGATTTTGGGCAAGCACACACATGCACCCAGTGTGAGTTTTAAGCTACTGGGTCCGGGACCTGAACCACGGTCAACTACATGGGAGTCCAGTGTTGTAACCATTACCCCATCTGTTGATCATAGCCCTCAATATGGTATTTTAATATTAAGACTACTTGGTAGGGACCAGCAAGTGGCATGATGGTTAAAGCGCTGGAGACTCCTACATGGCCAAATGCGGTTCGAATACTGGACCTGGTGGCTTGCTTTCTCACTCCCCCCCAGCCCCCATGTATCTCTCTCTAGTCTACTTAAAATAAATGAATGAATAAATAAAATTAAATTAATATTTTAAAAAAAAAGACTATGTGGTGTCTTCAAATTTTATTTATTTATTTTTTTAGTTGGTTAAGTTTTTGGTATAGGGCATATGTGGTTGCCGAAGAGACATGGCATGCAAGGGGGATTGGGATAAAGCACTCCCAAAGGGGCCATGCTACAATCCTGTCTCCTCCATTCTCCTCTCAGGATTTGCAGCACACGTGCACATGCACCCAGTGTGTTTTTCATCACTGGGTCTGGGACTTAAACCATGTCAGTTATGTGGGATCCAGCCACCTTAACTACCATACCACCAGTCGGTCCAGTGTCTTCAAAAATTATCCCTTGGGGCTAGCAGATGGCATAGTGGTTACGTCACTGGACTCCCACATGGCCAACTGCAGTTCGAGTCCAAACCCAGTGACTTGAAACTCATGCCAGGCATGTGAGTGTGTGTGTGTGTGAGTGTGTGAGTGTATGTGTGTGTGTGCACGCCCAAGATCCTGGGAGGAGAATGGAGAAGGGATTGTGGCATGGCCATCCCCCCGGGGAGTGATTTCTAACTTTCCATCTGTCTTTTCTCTCTCTCTCAGGCAAGCACATGTAGCCTAAAGGCAAAAACCTCTTTAAACAAACAAAAAAAATTATCCCTTATATAAGGCTATTTGGAAGAAAAAAAAAAGACTATCTGCTCAATTGACAATGTATATACTTAGAATAAATCTCTCTTCAATCATGACTTTCCCCACTGACAAAGTAAAATCATAGCTGTGGGGAGGATCTGAAGCTCTACCAAGGGCATTTGTCTACCTCTTACTGTCTCTTTCTCTCTCTCTCATGAAATACATAAACTTTAAAAAAAAAAAGAGGTAAGAGGGGCTGGCAGGTAGCGTGACGGTTAAGGTGCTGGACGCCCACATGGCCAACTGTGGTTTGAATACCAGACCCAGCAGCTTGCTTTCTCACTTTCTGTCTCTGTCTCTCTCTCTCATGAAATACATAAACTTTAAAAAAAAAAAGAGGTAAGAGGGGCTGGCAGGTAGCGTGACGGTTAAGGTGCTGGACGCCCACATGGCCAACTGTGGTTTGAATACCAGACCCAGCAGCTTGCTTTCTCACTTTCTGTCTCTGTCTCTCTCTCTCATGAAATACATAAACTTTAAAAAAAAAAAGAGGTAAGAGGGGCTGGCAGGTAGCGTGACGGTTAAGGTGCTGGACGCCCACATGGCCAACTGTGGTTTGAATACCAGACCCAGCAGCTTGCTTTCTCACTTTCTGTCTCTGTCTCTCTCTCTCATGAAATACATAAACTTTAAAAAAAAAAAGAGGTAAGAGGGGCTGGCAGGTAGCGTGACGGTTAAGGTGCTGGACGCCCACATGGCCAACTGTGGTTTGAATACCAGACCCAGCAGCTTGCTTTCTCACTTTCTGTCTCTGTCTCTCTCTCTCATGAAATACATAAACTTTAAAAAAAAAAAGAGGTAAGAGGGGCTGGCAGGTAGCGTGACGGTTAAGGTGCTGGACGCCCACATGGCCAACTGTGGTTTGAATACCAGACCCAGCAGCTTGCTTTCTCACTTTCTGTCTCTGTCTCTCTCTCTCATGAAATACATAAACTTTAAAAAAAAAAAGAGGTAAGAGGGGCTGGCAGGTAGCGTGACGGTTAAGGTGCTGGACGCCCACATGGCCAACTGTGGTTTGAATACCAGACCCAGCAGCTTGCTTTCTCACTTTCTGTCTCTGTCTCTCTCTCTCATGAAATACATAAACTTTAAAAAAAAAAAGAGGTAAGAGGGGCTGGCAGGTAGCGTGACGGTTAAGGTGCTGGACGCCCACATGGCCAACTGTGGTTTGAATACCAGACCCAGCAGCTTGCTTTCTCACTTTCTGTCTCTGTCTCTCTCTCTCATGAAATACATAAACTTTAAAAAAAAAAAGAGGTAAGAGGGGCTGGCAGGTAGCGTGACGGTTAAGGTGCTGGACGCCCACATGGCCAACTGTGGTTTGAATACCAGACCCAGCAGCTTGCTTTCTCACTTTCTGTCTCTGTCTCTCTCTCTCATGAAATACATAAACTTTAAAAAAAAAAAGAGGTAAGAGGGGCTGGCAGGTAGCGTGACGGTTAAGGTGCTGGACGCCCACATGGCCAACTGTGGTTTGAATACCAGACCCAGCAGCTTGCTTTCTCACTTTCTGTCTCTGTCTCTCTCTCTCATGAAATACATAAACTTTAAAAAAAAAAAGAGGTAAGAGGGGCTGGCAGGTAGCGTGACGGTTAAGGTGCTGGACGCCCACATGGCCAACTGTGGTTTGAATACCAGACCCAGCAGCTTGCTTTCTCACTTTCTGTCTCTGTCTCTCTCTCTCATGAAATACATAAACTTTAAAAAAAAAAAGAGGTAAGAGGGGCTGGCAGGTAGCGTGACGGTTAAGGTGCTGGACGCCCACATGGCCAACTGTGGTTTGAATACCAGACCCAGCAGCTTGCTTTCTCACTTTCTGTCTCTGTCTCTCTCTCTCATGAAATACATAAACTTTAAAAAAAAAAAGAGGTAAGAGGGGCTGGCAGGTAGCGTGACGGTTAAGGTGCTGGACGCCCACATGGCCAACTGTGGTTTGAATACCAGACCCAGCAGCTTGCTTTCTCACTTTCTGTCTCTGTCTCTCTCTCTCATGAAATACATAAACTTTAAAAAAAAAAAGAGGTAAGAGGGGCTGGCAGGTAGCGTGACGGTTAAGGTGCTGGACGCCCACATGGCCAACTGTGGTTTGAATACCAGACCCAGCAGCTTGCTTTCTCACTTTCTGTCTCTGTCTCTCTCTCTCATGAAATACATAAACTTTAAAAAAAAAAAGAGGTAAGAGGGGCTGGCAGGTAGCGTGACGGTTAAGGTGCTGGACGCCCACATGGCCAACTGTGGTTTGAATACCAGACCCAGCAGCTTGCTTTCTCACTTTCTCTCTCTTGTCAAATATTAAAATAATAATAATAAATAAAATTAAGTAATTTTTAAATGAAGTAAGATCTCTGGGAACTAACAGAATCCATTACTTCTGAGTAGATGGCACTAGCCATGGACGAGAACACTAAGTGAACTCGAAACACATCGAAAAGCAGTCTCCCTGCCCTTGCCCAATCGTGTGCTCTTTCCTGAATGCACACACAGGATGACTTGGCATTTGTGGAAGGAAGCTGTGTAAGACAACTGGTGCAACAGGCAAGCATGGCAAAACCGCTCAGGGTTACATAAGGGTGAGCTGGAGGACTTCTTCCCCACTGGCTCACCAGATACTAATGGCACCAACCGGGATTAAGCCTGGCCTACCTTACAGAAAGGGTTCAAAGTCTCTACAACAAGGGGAGAGCAGCTTTACTTTAAAACAGTAATGCTCTTACACAGACCTGAGTCAGTGATGAATAAACTGCTCTGGCTATTGTGCCCTCACCTCCCACCACGGTGTCACTCAGATCAGCTAAAAAGCAGCCAACTTCCTTCTACCTAGTGCTGGAGGAACAACCTACTTCCCTCCTGCTGGGCCTTACACCACCTGGCTCATAAACAGGGCGGGGTATAGTTAATCAGGAAGGCAAAAGAAGGAGATTAGAGACTAGGGTGGGAAAGGCAGCTGATATCTAGAGCAGTAAACAGGAAAACCAGTTTCAGATGAGGGAGAACCATTCTGCCGGGGCAAAGATGATCTTTCATTAAGCATGCTGGGCACCTTCATTCTTTTTTAAAAATCTTGTCAGATTTTTATATCCATATTTCAGAAAGACAACAAGACCAGAACAGTGGAAGGAAAGGGGTTCAAATGCAAATCAGGTTACCGATGAGGGTGACAGGAACGCCATACTCCAGGGCCGAGATGGCAGTCCACTTCCCAGTGCCCTTCTGCCCCGCACTATCTCTGATCTTTGGCAGCAGGTATGTGCCGTCAGTATCTTTGAACTTGAGAATGTTGGCTGTGATTTCAATCAGGAAGGAGTCCAGCTCGGTCTTATTCCATTCCTCAAAGGCCTACAGGCAGGACACGAGACAAAACGATGTGGGAGAAACAAGGGTTCTGCAGGGGAAGCTCTCTTCACTGACCTGACTCATCCTGTCCCCTACACACACTGACCAGTGTTCACAGCTGCTGGGCACTGGGGGCCACCAGCTTCTTCTGGGATATGCCTGCTGACTTCTGCTCCAAGGGCTGAATTTTATGCTAACCTGACTCGGCTGTGTTGGATGACCTGGTGCTGCTGATTTACCAACACCAGATTGTTCTCCCCTCAGAGCCAAGTGCTCCTCACTTCACAGGTCTCTGTACCCTGTCACCTCCCTTGGTCGCCTGATTGAAAATCTGCCTCTTGGAACCAGCAGCTGGCGTAATGGCTACATCGCTGGACACCCCTGTAATAGATCGTGGTTCGAGTCTGGGACCTGGTGGCTTAAACTCACGCTGGGCGTGTGTGTGCATACCCAAGATCCCGAGAGGAGAATGGAGGAGAAGGGATTGCGGTGTGGCCATCCCCCCTGGGGGGTGATTTCTCGCTTTCTGTCTCTGTCTTTCTGG